ATATAAATGGTATTATAACATTTATTTTGCAATGCTTGGTTGCAAGGAATGCAAGGGATGGATTTCTAGTTCTATTTATGGAAAGACTAAAAATATCACCTATGGCCAGACACCTATCAACTTTAAAGCAGTTTTGTGAAGCTGAGTATCATTGCTTAGTAGTGTTTGGCTTTAATGGATGAAGTTCCTCCTAAAGATTCAAGGGTACCACGTTCTAGTCTCTTGACAAAGGATGCCTACAAGTGTGAGGCATATCTTGGCAATTGACATAGGTTCCAACTCTAAACTGATAGTAAAGGAAATCTACAATGGAGGGAGTGGCAAATTAGCAAATGGTGGAGACTGAGTAGGAGAAGAGTATATAAGTATCCCACATCGGTGTAAAATAACACATTTGTGTCCTATTTTTGGCTTTATGAACACTTTGGTATTTAAGCTTCAAATTCATTCATTTAGATCAAAATGTTCATAAAGTAGAAAAAAGCACACCAATGTGCTATTTGATAAAATTGCAAAAGATACCAAACCCGACTCAGGTTACATGCCAACACTACCTCTTTCAATGTTAACACTATGCATTAAGAATTTGTGGGCTGTGTAGCAAGTGAAATTCGATACGTTAATGTTAACACCTATATTGTGGTGTTGATATTTCTACTAAGTTGTCAGCAATTCAAGTAGGTCTCATAGATGAAATCTGTTTGCCAACTTAGCATCAACATTTAATGAATCTTTAAATAGTATAATTAGAAAGGTAGTTTTTTTATTTTATTAGAAACTTTTGAAAAGTAATAATCTTAATTAGTTCAAAAAAAAAAAAGTTGTATCCTTAATTAAAAAAATTTTAAAAGGCGATGCCCTCGATGCTGGATGCCAGGACTAGAGGGTCCCCTTTAAAGATCCAAAGCAAGTAGTAAATATACTTATTAATAATAAATTTATGTTGAAAAAATAAAAATTAACTTTTATTTTATTAACTATCTAATTAAATTTAATCACTTTGTAACAATATGAAAATTAATATCAACTTTATATTATTCTATATATATTTATCATAAAAAGGTGCCTTTCAAAAAATTTGAGAAAAGACACACTCCCTATGGTTCCAACTTCGAAGTGATAAAAATCAGCTTAACCCCCTGTGCGCCCCCCCCCCAACTTGTTGTTGTTGAGAGTTTTAGCCCCTCAACAAACAATGTTTGTTGGTTAGCCCTTCAACTTCTTGTTTTTGAGGGTTTTGGCTCATTGAAGGCAATTAATCACATTTGTCCCTAACCTATAAACCCATGCATACTTAGCATCATGTCATTACCACATTGGAGGAAAAATGTTCTTAGTTGGACGAATAGAGGTGAAAGAAGTTGACTTGGTGCCTTTGAACTTATCTTTGAGGGTTTTAGCCTTTCAACATACAATATGAGAATTTTAGCCCTTAAACTACACGTCTTCCAAATAATAAACTCCCAAATTAATAACAGAAGTAATGTAACATATCTACTTATTTTTTATTAAGCCACACTTCATCAGTGTCATTTTAACATAAAAATGACCATATACCATGTGAACCTTACATCTATTGCAATTTTAAAAAATAAAATTAATTTTTACTTCTTTCACCTCTTTCTTGCATCCTACTCCAACTTCTCCCTCTTCTTATACCCTCCCCCACCCTCTTCTTTTCCATAAGAGAACCCCAAATCTAATCAATGTAGAATTTCCTAGTGAACCATAGGTCTCCTTCAAAGCCCCCAATTTTCACTTATTGGGTGTTAATATTTGTGGATATTTTGTTTTATCTGCAATCAAAAAGGTATTTCAACCTAACATTACCATTATCACTAAGAAGATGTAGGCGATGAAAACCTAACCACTATATCTAAAGGTGGAATTTTGACATGAGGAAAGAGATTTGAAAAGGTGGAGGAGAGAGATGGAACAAATAAAAATTAATTTTATTTTTCAAATTAAAATTAATTTTATTTTTCAAATTAAAATTAATGTGAGATCCACATCTACATGTCATGTTATCACTTTTTTGCTTACATGACACTGCCGAAATATAATTTAATGAAAAAATGAGTGGACATATTATTGCATTACTCTAATTGTTAATTTTGAGTTTAACATTTATAATATGTGCAGTTCATGAGCCAAAATTCTCATATTATATGTTGAAGGGCTAAAAACCTCAAAAACAAGTTCAAGGGTGCCAAGTTGAGTTTTCCCACTTCTATTAGTCCAACTTGCACCATTTTTCTCCCAACGTGGCAATGGCATGGCATTCAGTAGACATGAGTTAACGGGTTAGAGATGGACATGACTAACTACCATCAATTTTGAGCTAAAACTCTAAAAAACAACTCGTTCAAGGGCTAAATAATGAACATTGTTTGATGAGGGGCTAAAACCCTCAATGGTGACAAGTTGGAGGGGGCACAGGGGGTTAAGCCGATACCAATCTCTATAGTCAATTCAATAATACTCTCTCCCATCTGAGGCTTAGTTTAACAATACTGCTCAATGCTGTCCTATAACTATAGCAGTTAGAACAGCTATGTTATACCGTCACAAAAAGTATTTAAGTATTTGGTAATTATATTTCAAAATAA